TGCATGATAACATTGTTGGAGTAGGTTTCAGGTGGGATATTTATGAATTTTCAATAGAAAATAGTAAGTTCTATCTATCAAATAATGTTGACACCTGTATTTTAGTTGTAGATTACCCAACCTATTGAATCCAAAGAAGGACCCAACTATTCTATTGACTGACAATGTTAAATGATGGCTTCTGTTAATCCATGAAAAGTAAACCTCTAGTAATCCGAACCAAAGCAGATCCGAAGTCAACTTGAGTCCGATATGTGAAGATGTTCCAAAGCTTATCCAGTTCCGGATTGAAATAGTTTCCGAGATTAGTATTTTGATGTGATTGAGTCTGTACAAGCATTTAATGTTTTTTTGTCTTTTATTGATGGAACAGTTCTTAGGACCAAATCAGCAAATCTTTTAAGTGTCGCAATTTTCAAACACTTAGTATTATTTAGTCCTTAGAATGTTTTCTCAGTTTGTACTATGTCTCTCCTTTACTATATAAGGAGTTGAGGTTTCATGTATTATGTATCAAGAAAAGAAAGTAATCAAAATATTCTCTTCACATCAATTTCTAACTCTCTTGCAAGTCAAATTTCTCTCACTTACATTCTACTTTTCTTAAATTATATTTACTTTGTTCATACTCATTTTACTTTACTTGGATATTTTGTTGAACACTTTGTTGAATATTATCTTCAAGTCTCGACTGGTTTACCAGAATTGACTGGACCAACTTATTAGAAGCATACATTGATCTTAAAGGTTAATTCAAGGTTTGAGTTTTCAAACCTTGTCCGTGCATTGAATCTTGTTCTCACAATTGGTATCAAAGATTGAGTGGTTGTCCTTTGAATCCATAAGAACACATTATAGTTGATTTGAGATTACCTTGGTATCTCAATCATTTTTATGTTAAAGATAAAATTTATTCTATATACTGCTTCTGCTCTAATACTTTAACTTCAATGGCTACTCTTAATCAAACTCAACAAATGTTTTCAATGCAAATAACAATTAGCGTAGGTTGCCCTTCTCGTGCCCCATTGCTAGTTGTTGAAGAGTATGATCACTGGAAAATTAGGATGGAAAGATTTTACTTGGCAAGGAAAAATGTGAAGAAATATGGACGTCTGTAGAAGAAGGTCCTCATGTTCTGGTTAGATAAATGGTGAGAGATGTTGCTACAACTCTCATGGGCCAATAAGATCAATGCCCAACACCACTTACTGTAACGCCCGCATATCCGGACTAGTCAATTTAGAGACAATGAGCACCAAAAATGAGTTTTTATGGAAGATTATTTAGAAGGAGTAATCTTAACCAAGTTGTAGAATATTTCACAAGGGTTTCGTACATATAAAGAATGCCGAAATCCGAGTTATAACGAAGAAGTTATGGTCCGTCGAAGTTTCGCGACAAAACCAGCACGGCACTGCACGACGTAAATAGTGAACGATAGAGGACTTTTTAGCCTTAGTAATCTAAACAAAAGCTGTAGTATACATTAAACCGAGAGCGTGCATAAAACGAACGCACAAATCTGACTTCGTATGAGGAAGTTTTGAATTTTCTAAAATTTGGCTTAGCAGTGCACAGCCCGAAACTCAAATTTTAGATCGAGCGTTTTTTTGGCCGATGCGACCTAAATGAGAGTTGAAGATCTCATTAATAGGAACTCAACGGTAAAAAGACAGACGAAAACGGAGTCCGTATGTAGAAGTTATGAATTTTACGCATACATTTAATAGTATAATCTCCTCGTACTGTTAAATTTAAGATCGGTCAAGAATTAGCCGACGGAGTCAAAATGAAAGTTGTAGATCTTATTTTTACCTACACGTGGATATAAAGAACGTCGAAAACGAAGCTCGTATGTGAAAGTTATGAAATTTTGAAAATCGGCTGATTTCCACCTTGTGTGCGATGCCACGTGTCAGCACCAGGCTCAGACTTGGAGCTCAAGCTGGCTCACGACGTGAGCATCATAAAACTCACAACGTGAGTGACCCTCCAGGCCCCTATAAATAAGAGGTGAAGCCTCCATTCTTCCTCACACCTCCCATCACTTCCCTCTCTCTCTAGAACCTCTCTCTAGCCCCAAAACCCCCCGAAAAGCCTAGGGAACCTCCCTAGCACGAGGCGGAAGCCCCGAAGCGCCCGACGGCTCCGAGAAGAATAGCCTTTCGGCTCGGAAACGCTGCTCCTGCGAAGCCCGGTTTTTAGCAAAACCCGCTGTAAGTTAGATACGCCTACCCTAATTTAAATATAGCTTATATATAAATATAATATCGTTATTGTGAACCTATAAATAAGATTTATCAGTTATTCAAAGTCGTTATACTAATTGATTTACTTACGGGAATGATGTCTAGGCTGTGATTTAGTGAGGTGTTTAAAGTGAGATTTCCAAACAGTATACTTCGTATACCAAACGGACCTTACCTCCGATATGATCCTACCTGGTTGTTCATTACTTGATAGATCATGAAGTAGACTCTGAGTTAATGACGAATCCAGACTAATAATTATTCGCAATAAATATTAGACTAAAATCTAGTGGTAATAATACTAAGTTTCGTAGAAGGAAATCATATTTTTAAGAAACGAAGCGCTGCTCGAATTTCGAGTCGTCACTTTAACAAGTGAGTACATAGTTACTTTCATCTTACACATAGATATGAAATATTTTATATAAATTATGTGCTACGTGTGCATATTATCTGTATACTTGCTATCTATGCTGGATGAACGATTTTATACATGTTTTAAATGATTTAAACTGTATATGTATTTTATATCTACAAAATTAGTTGGGTAAAACATGGGTAGATTAGAGATGAGATAAATGATGAGCGATGAAATATGAGATGAATGATGAGCGATAATATATGAGTGGTAAATTATGGTGAGAAGCGATGACCTAAGCGATGATCCAAGCGACGACCCAAGCGATGGTCCCGTCATCTAGCAGAGTATGGATGACAACCACAAACTATTCTATACAGTCCAGTGGAACACTAGCAGGCTCACAACATGTAGGTGTTGTGAACGATGTGTTCACCCGGTGTACTCTAAACCCTGGCGACTATGCGACTTAGCGCCTAAACCCTGGCGACTATGCGACTTAGTGCTTGTTGAGTGAACCATGGCAACGATGGATTTCGTGCCGATTCCTTAGGATAATCCTTATGAATGAATGAACGAGGAATAACTAATTCTTAGGGTAGATCCTTAAGAGTAAAGAAGATAATGGGGATGGGTAATTGGGTTGATTGTTTGATGTTTAAACATAATAATTATATTATTGTGGGTTGAAAACCCTATGTACTCACCAGGTTTCCCAACCTGACCCACTCAAGCTTATTTGTATCACAGGTGCCGATACAAAGTTACATTACACTGAGAGATTAAAGAGGTGTGGATCACTAGTGTAAATGAATGTAAGTTCTGTTTATGCTTATGTTTCTGTATTGACAATGACATCCCAAATGTTTTAAAATGAATAAAAATACATTTATTCGGAAATGCTTTGATAACGTATTTATCATGTTTTACTGGGAACAAATTCCGCAACATTTTTATTAAAAGAAGTACTCCGATTTTTATAAAGCATAAACAAAATCGGTCTTTTCTAGCCGAGAAAATTGGGATGTCACAGTTTGGGTGTGATTGTGAATGCTCTATTCTATTGTACAGATGGTTTTTATTTTATGTCGGGTATTAGATATTTAGATATGGAGATTTAATGTTGTTTTCTTACTATTACATTACAGGTAGTCCCTAAAGCATAATTAGAAGTTGAAGCGTTGTTTTTTGGTTTTTACCTAAATTTTGTTTCTAATCTATGCAAACTTCTAATTTCAATGCTATTTCGGCCACTGTTTGGAGCTGTTTTTTAGGAGTTGTTCTTTTGTCGCTGTATTTTAAAAGATTTGGATGGTTGGGGTATTGCTGTTTGTTGGGAGATTTGGACAACTCAGTGCTATTTTGAGTTTGTCTTTATCTGGCTTGGTTGATGTTTCCTTCGGATGGTTTGTTTGTTTGCTGTTTACTTCAGATGGAGGTTCACTATAATTGTTTAAGCATGTTCTTAATATATTGTTTGTGGGGATTTTAGTCAACTATCTTCAGATCTGTTATAGCTTTGTTGTCACTTTACTTAATATCATTTGTATATATTTGTATATGAGATTGTTTAATAACATTGACAAAATAAAATCAACTAGAACAAAATTTTAATTAGCAACGATTGTTTAAATTTAATAAAATTATAACGACTACAACTCATCTTTAGTTAGCAGTATTTGTATAGAAAACCAATGGACCGTCCCTGATTATTATCGGTCTCAAGCAGTATAACGGATGATGGTTTATAACATTATGTATATTAAAGGCCAAAGGGCCCCAAAATTTTGATTTGCTTAGAGCCACCAAATTGGTTGAGCCGCCCCTGTCGATCATAAAACTTACATTTTATAGTTTTCAGACACAATAAATTGTTTCAAACCTGCAACGTAGTGCATGAGTTTTTACTAGGTAGAATTAAATATTACAATCGATGAACTTTTGATGTGACTATAAAAACATTAGAATTGATTTACACGAATAACTTAGAATTAATTTTATTTTTAAAGCTTACTATATTAATTAAAACAATATATTATATATTATGGGGGTGTTTTTCATATTTTTCTATCTTAATAGGGCATGAACGTCACAAACAGCAACTACCATCCCACGTCATCAATACAATATCCTAGGTAAACGATTTATAACCATCGATTATAACTTCATCAACGGTAACAAAACAAAACAGGCGAAGCACACGGATCGGTATCTCCACCGTCGATCTTATCCAACAAAACCATCCCGCTTTCGCTTCAAACTCAAAATCCCCAAATTTCTCCCCCCTTTATAAATCACACCAAATCCATTATCCCACATCCAAACCATATTCGTCTCTTTATAGAAATCCGAAGCTTTTTTTTTCAGTTTGCGTAGTGATCATTCCAACAATGTCAGGACGTGGAAAGGGTGGAAAGGGCCTTGGCAAGGGAGGAGCAAAGCGTCATCGGAAAGTTCTCCGTGATAACATCCAGGGAATAACCAAGCCGGCGATCAGGAGGTTAGCGAGGAGAGGAGGTGTAAAGAGAATCAGTGGTCTGATCTATGAAGAAACCAGAGGTGTACTTAAAATCTTTTTGGAAAATGTTATTCGTGATGCAGTTACATACACTGAGCATGCTCGAAGGAAGACTGTAACTGCAATGGATGTTGTCTACGCTCTGAAGAGGCAAGGAAGGACTCTTTACGGATTTGGAGGCTGAGATCCATAAATGGTTCTTCGTACCATTACTGTTCTGTTTTCTTTTAGTTTTGGTAGTGGGCCTATCTACCAAATTTCCATTTTTTAGATCTGGTAGCTTGATGTAAATGGATTGCTTCAATCCTTAAGAAGGACAATATTAATTTAATCTACTGATTTTGTTTTGATTCTGGCATAAACTTTTATTAAATTAACTGAATATTGTTATACAATCGCCTTGTTCATTTCAAAAATCGATTGTCGTTGCTGTGCTATTTTTTCTGTATAAATCATTAATCGGATTTGGATGTTTTCTTTAAGATATGTTTGTTTTATGTATCTTACAGTCTAAAGCGATAAATGTGAAGTACGTAATTTATCGGCTTTCAAAAACCCAAATTTCCACTTCTTTTTACCAATTAAATTTAGTGATTTTTTTGTGAGATTTAGATTTTCTTCACTACTCTATGCAACTGTCAATAAAACTTTTCCAGTCTAACTAAATGAAGGTAGAAGCGACCATTGTTCCTCTTTTTTATGGACAGAGCCGGTGAGGAAGATGATAATCTGACCAGGATCAAGCTGCCATCGAAGAACACAAATCAGGCGATATTTGAATTCGGCATTAGAATCGGCCTGCAAAAACTAACCTAGAATCACCAGTACCGACCACCACCACTGTCTCGCCGGAGAATCAGTTTAGCGATAACATGGATGGTCCCTCACTTTTCTTTACAGATTCGCCGGAGAAGACAGTCTTGCCGCCACATCTGGAAATTGTTAGAATCCCATAAATCCATATCAAATCCCTCACTCAAATCGATTTTGAAACTTGATATCAGAAACCCGTATAAAATCCCTCTCCAAGAATTCATACCAGAACATGAAATTAGATGAATCCAACAATGGTGGTTATGGCTCCCCTCTAGAAATTGAATCCTCAACTCAAATCGAGTCCACAACAGAGCCTCAAGTTCTTATCTTTTCTATGGGGAAATCGTTCCAGAATTGGACACCATTTTGGAGGAGGCGAAGGATAACAATGGAATTTTGCAAAGGGTCACCTTCAGAAACTCAAATCAAACGTAAAGGGTAAGGTCAATTGGCCTTCATTTGAAAGGGGATGCCGGAAGTACACTGATCAAGGGTGTGATGAACGTCGCCGGACCTGAAGAATCTGAAAGTCAACAGAGTAGAAGGTTGGTGATAGTGTCCGGTAGAGTGACAGAGATACTGCCGGTGGTGAAGAGGCGTTGACAAAAGGAAATTAGAGAGAATGTGAGAAAGAGTGGCATATAAATGGTAGTTTTCGATAAAGTATTTTTCATTTTTCAATAAAGAGTGATATATAAATATGTTGTTATATTTTCTTACCACAAATCCATCCATTTTAAATGGTAAAGGTGTCATATTTAATAAAAATAATAATATTTTAGTACACTTTTGTGATACATATCCACATTTAAGATGGCTAGAAAGATATATAAGAAGAAATGTAGGAGAATATTTAATTTATTTTTATTATATTATAATAAACAAATTCATAAACAATAAATATTAAAGAAAAGGAAAAAAATCTCAGTAAGGGTAATATATTATTTTTAAGTCGGTTAGAGACTAAATGCGAAACAAAAATAAACTGTAAGGATGGTCCAAGTTAAAAAACTAACTTAGGGACTAAACACACAAAATACCCCAAACTACAGGGACTTCTGTGTAATTTACTCAAGTTAAAAAGTTATTTTTATAATAAAAACCAAATATTGCTTAAAACAATTTATTAATTTAAAAGTTTTTTTAAAAAAAAAAATCAAAAGTCAAAAGGTGTTTGGCAAAAAAGGGTATTTAAAATAATTTTTTCTTAACCATTAAAAAAAGATTTTAAAAAGTTAGAATTTATAACTTTTTGACTTTTCAAGTCTTTAGACGAAAATAACTTCTGATCTTTAACATCTGTTTCCAAGATCACGACGACTCTGTATGACAATTCTGACAACATCCAAAACCTTTTATCATATTCAAGGAGATGATGATAGTAAGATTCGGTTCAATCCATTTATTAAATGTGTTAAAGGTATGGACCTAACATAATATGTTTAATTGAATGAGTTAATATTTTCTATTCAACTCAATTTGTTAGATACATGAGTTGTTATCGGGTTGGTTTTTGCCGACTCTAGTGGCCATGCCGGGTACAACGTCCCAATCTTACGTCTTGTCTTCTGCCATCAAGAATACAACACAAAGAAACGCCTAATGGAGGAGGAGAGACAACGATTATATGACCATTGAACGATCATTTTTTACTTATTTTTTAACATATAAATAAATCTCTTTATATTTTTCTTTACACCATTTTATATATTTCTTTATATTACACAGCTACAATAATTACAACAATGAATCAAAACCCAAACACCCCTCAACAAAATCTAAACCCGCACCCAAACACGTCATCCCTCATAAGATTCGTTCAATACGAGTTTGGTTTTAATTTACTTTACGCCCAAGGTTCGTCGCAATTGCCATACCATCAAAGCTATTTCAACTACACCACACTTCCGATGAAATTTTCTTCAACACCATTCAACTTGAACTCCTTTTTCTTGAACATCAAGAACATCACATTGAACTCCATAGTCTAGAACTTCAACAAACTTAAGAGCAAGAAGATCATTCGGGTTTTTAATAAGAGAAATGAAATTCTTATCAAACAAATCTTTTTTTTCCTTTCCTTTCTTTATATCTCTCTCAATCATCAAGTTATTGCAAGCTTTAGTTAAGCATTCAATCTTTGAAAGTGGTTGAAAAATCAATCCTCCATGATCATCCTTCAAACCTCCATAAGAAATCAAAGTATCCCATGAAATCATCCCGCCTTTCAATATTAATCCAATGAATTGTTCTAAACCGACTTTGTATTTGACATCTTTAACGATCACAATCCAAGAACAATACTCCAAGTACACCATTTCCACCATATTAGATCAATTTGATAAGATCTTGAGTTTTTCTAGAGAGAGAAAATGATTTGAAATGGGTTTTATAGAGAGAGAAAGTAAAAATCACTTGAATTCTAGTGAAGAAAATCGAATTATGAATAGAATCAGAGATGAATTCGATTTCTAGAATCCAAAAACTCTCTAAATCACGAAGATCAAAACTCCAAATGAAGAATCATCAAATCAAGATTGCCACCATGGATCAATTCTTAATGAAAATCAAAAAACACCCGCTCTGATACCAATTGTAGTGGTGTTGATTATGATGACATGTGCGAAATAAGAAAAGATCTAGTGAATCATCATACAAAATCAATAACACATGAAGTAAATAAATTTGAGTTTAACTCTCATTAGTATTGATAGAAAGAGTACAAATGAGTCTTTCAATTTCTCTCTCTAAACTAATGCTTTCAAAGTGTTCATTCCATAAATGAGTGTCACTCACTTCCAATTTATAAGAAAAACAACTCATTGCACAATACAAGTGGGTAAAGCACAAATACATCCAATCGTGACTTTGCACCCTAACAAAGGGTTTTTGTCTTATATGGATTTATATGTTTTATAAGTTATAAAAATTAGAAGAGTTTTTATAGAAAAACTAGCTTATTTTTTTTGTAAAATATTCAAGGAGACAATAAAGGGAAAAGAAGACATGCTTGCATTTATTTAATCATAAAGCCATGTTCTTACACTTGTAGCCTTTTGTTGCTAGATGCACGGTGTATTAAAGCATCAAGACTCAATAGGTAAGGACATGGATTAGATGATTAAAATGCTTGCATGTATTTCTTCTGCTACTAGCTAAAAGCCACGAAATTTTGTGCTTATTCTCTTTAGTTTTTGTCTCTTAAAGTGTTAAGAACATAAAGATGAAGATGATACTTGAATACTCTCTTTGAAGACAAACTAGTTTCTTTGTCTTAAGAGCTTTATAGATTCATTTATTACAAGAAGAAGACTAGCATCTTATCAAGTTGATTTATTGTTGGTGGATATCTCTAGAGAACTTCTACCTTGAAGTTTCATGCTATACTTCAACAACTTCCAATCTCCAATGAGAATCAAAGTCTTCAAAGGTTGTAACACTTTTCTTTCTATGGTTGTTTTTTTTTATCTTTCTAAGTCTTGCAAAAAGATCCTTGGTGGGTTAAAATGGTTTTAGTTTTATTCAACAATTTTAAAGATTTCGTTGCCGTTTTTACCGTTTGTGAAACCAGATTTTTGAATAAAAACCCAATAGTGGGTACCATCAAACTCTGGTGGCTTCGTGTTGTGGAACTCCCGGTACCACAACAAATCACCCTAGACTGGCCTAGTCTAGCTGTAGCGAACAGCTCAGGTGTGGGGTTGTCAACCCCGTATAGATCGATACACAAACTCTCGCTCTCCCTCCAGGAGACTCTGGTTATAACTACAAGACTTACGGCTGTACACTAGGTAGGTACGATTGAAGGACTGTCTCACAAGGGCCTTAACTAAATTTACGCGAACAATGTATTAACTTATTTATCGCTTTAAATAATATTTCGAGTATGTAATTGATTACAAAACATTGGTGAATAAAAAAAAATGTATTCGTTCATATCAAAAGTCATATATTAAATGTTATCGACCCGATTAACATGGAATGTGTTGTAAATGCCCAATAAGCATGAAGTGAGTATGTAAGCCCAGTAAACGTGTAACTGAGTATACAAGTCCCAATAAGCATGTAAATAGGTATTTAAGGCCCAATAAACATGAAGTGAATATACGAGGCCCATCAAGCGTGTAAATGGGTCAATAAGGCCCAATAAACATGTAATAAGTATACGAGGCCCAATTAAAGTGAAAATGACGTGATTAGCCCGTTTGTTATTAAAATGCTTGTTTTAGCTCAATTACTACAAAAATGACATAAAATGGCCACTTTTGTTAAAAATGACATTCTTGGCCCATTAAGTCGAGAATTTACAAATAAGGCCCATTTTTGGTAAAAATGACATTCTTGGCCCATTTAGCCGAGAATTTACAT